GTTCCAGGTTAAAACAATCGGCACACTCATTGAAGCCAAACCAAAAAGAAACATTGAGATTTGAAATGGCTGGAAACGAGGAGATTTGGGAAAAAGAAATATACAGCAACGGTCAATAAGACATACAAAAAAAACATTCTTTAGTTGACCATCTTTAAAAGTCTGAAGCTCATCTGAAAAATTTGTATTCATATAAATTTTCGAAAACTGCTAGTTGAAAATTCTTAGTTTTTCAGCTATTTCCCAGTTTCTGAAAGACGCTATTGACCCGTTTTTGTACTGAAAAGGAAGTGAACAGACGAAAAAATGTACTGAAAAGAAAAAAGCCGTCTTTCAGAAATCGACAAATAGCTGGGAACCTGACATACTGCTAAAAATGGTCAAAAAAACATGAAAACATGAATAACACGTTTTTTACATCTTATTGACCGGTACTGTATAACAATAAAAGTCTAACTACCAACATAACTGATCTTCAGATTGAATCGCACAGTAAAAAACATGGTTTTCTTTTCTCCAGTCAGATAATGTTCAATCAGGGCTGATTTTTTCTAATCTGGAGGTGCGCGGAATGGAATTTTTTGAAATTTCAAAATGTCTAACATGGAATGACTCCCAAGTGTTACCCTCGAAAAAAATCGAGACCTATATGGTTGAATAGAGCGTAAAAAGTTACTTTAGGTTCCAAACGGAATAGTTGGTAAAATTTTTTTTGGGAGTTATGGTCCAAAAAGTACCAAAAAATGCCTAAATTTTCAAAAAATCATAACTTTGTCAGTTTATGGCCGTTTGTTGAAATTTAACAAACAGTAGATAGACAATTAATTGAAAATTTGAGAATAATTTTTTTAGTTTTTTTCCTATTGATTGGATTATTGATTTTTTGAAAAAATCAAAATATTTTTCAATATCTAAAAAATCCTATTAGGTTGGCGGGAAAGTCTTTGTCACTTTTTCAATAGTTTATTTCTCAAAGAAAAAATAACCGAATAATTAATTATATTGTCCATCATTATCAACAACATGTCTCCAACGTTCCCTCAATTTATGGATTCCATTGCGGTAGAATCCAGCCGGGCGTGAGGCAAAGTATTGTTTGAGTGCCGCTTCGACCGCTCCACGGGAATTGAAGCTTCTTTCTTCGAAGGCACGTGTCATATCGCCAAATAACCAATAGTCGGAAGGAGCAAGATCAGGAGAATACGGGGGGTGAGGGAGAACATTCCATCCATATCCCATCAGCTCCTGCTTCACTTGTTTCGAAACATGTGGGCGAGCGTTATCATGTTGATAGTACACTTTCTTGTCTTTCAGGGCCGAACGGTCGACTGCTTTCTTGAGGTTTCGTAGTTGAGTAGTGTAGAGGTCTCCAGTTATTGTTTTGCCCTCGGGCAGAAGTTCCCAGTAGATGGGGCCGTCCACTCCCCACCACACAGAGAGCATAACTTTTTTCGGATGAAGGTCGGGTTTGGGGACATCCTGTGGGCTCTCTCCTTCTCCAACCCACTGGGATTTCCTGTGGTGATTATCGTAGAAGACCCACTTCTCATCTCCGGTTATTAGCCGGTCCAGCCATCGATCGCCCGCGTGGAGAGTGAGAAGAGTAATCGAATCGTCGACTCGGCGGTCAAGGTTGGCTTGAGTCAGGTGATGAGGTATGAATCGACCAAAAAGTTTTCTCATTCCAAGAGACTTCAAACCTTCAAGGACTGTGCTATGGTGAACTCCGAATGTGACAGCTAGTTCACGGCTAGATTGAAATGGATCCGATTGCAATGCGTGCTTCAGCTTGTCCAAATCCAACTCACGGGGTCTCCCAGAGCGATCCTTTTCATCGAGCGAGAAGTCATCTTTTTCGAAACGATGGAACCAATTGCGAATAGTATTGTAGTGAGGGGCATGTGTGTTGTACACATTCTTCAAGAAAGTTTCCGAATCCTTCATCGTGGTGTGAGATAGGAAGAGGTAAATCAAAACATGTCTGATGTGAATAGCAGTGGGAACAAACATATCGTTTCAATTACAGATGAGGAGCAGGGAAGGAGATGGGGACTTGTTTATATGGAAGGTTCTTATCACCTTGTTATTCACTAGAGTCGATATCATACACAGCCTCCATATACGAGAACAGTGATTAAACAAACAGAGTGACAAAGACTTTCCCGCCAACCTAATAGGTTAACTTTTTTCATTATGTCCATTGAATTCAGCACATTTGATTTACTATAGAACCATATCAATACCCCGGGGGAAATCATGCTCACACAAGTTATGCCGAAAAATATCGATTTTTGGCACTTGGCTTCTTTGAATTCGTTGTCCTCGGCGGCCGGTATGGTGAGGGGCATACTTGTTTTTGTAATTTTTACTTGCGCACCGTTTGCTTAGAGTGTTTGAAATAGAATCCTGCGACATACAAAGTCAATTTTTCAAATGCCGTACCATTTCTTAAAATCATCATCTTGAAAAAATCAAAATTTTGACATGTGACAGGGCACATCTATAGTTAAATTTGATAGAAACGGCCAAACTTTTTTTTAACGTAATCAGAAGAATGTAATCTTATCAACGGCTTAAACAGAATTTCGATTTAGGCCCTAGAATCAAAAATATTTACGATTTTTCGAGCCTGACCCCTATTTTTGGTGAAGTGTGACATGTGACAGGGCACATCTATAGATAAACTTGAAGGAAACAGCTAAACTTTTGTTTAAAAATGATTAAAAAGACAAAATCTTATCAACGGCTTGAACAGAATTTTAAATTAGGCCCTAAAAATAAAAATATTCACTGATGATGGGACACCTTTTGTTTTTGATCATAACTTGAGAACGAAAAAAATATCAAAAAACTGTTAACGCCATTCGATTTAAAATTAAAAAATACTATTAGACAAATGTTATTGGTTTGTTTCGTATCGTGAAAATAGGTGAAATGGAAAAAGGTCGATTTCGGCTGTCCGAAGCTGGAAGGATATCTTTCGGAAATCGTTCATTTAACCTACTTTCACCACAGGGACCAAGTTGATTCCACTTTTTCTATGTTATTGTTTCATTTGTCATTTTAATCATGTTTAAACAAAAGTTTAGCTGTTTCCATCAAGTTTATCTATAGATGTGCCCTGTCACATGTCACACTTCACCAAAAATAGGGGTCAGGCTCGAAAAATCGTAAATATTTTTGATTCTATGGCCTAAATCAAAATTCTGTTTAAGCCGTTGATAAGATTCCGTTTTTCTGATTACGTTAAAAAAATAGTTTGGCCGTTTCTATCAAGTTTAACTATAGATGTGCCATGTCACATGTCAAAATTTTGATTTTTTCAAGATGATGATTTTAAGAAATGGTACGGCATTTGAAAAATTGACTTTGTATGTCGCAGGATTCTATTTCAAACACTCTAAGCAAACGGTGCGCAAGTAAAAATTACAAAAACAAGTATGCCCCTCACCATACCGGCCGCCGAGGACAACGAATTCAAAGAAGCCAAGTGCCAATAAATTGATATTTTTCGGCATAACTTGTGTGAGCATGATTTCCCCCGGGGTATTGATATGGTTCTATAGTGAATCAAATGTGCTGAATTCAATGGACATAATGAAAAAAAAGTTAACCTAGGATTTTTTAGATATTGAAAAATTTTTTGATTTTTTCAAAAAGTCAATAATCCAATCAATAGGAAAAAAACTAAAAAATTTTATTCTCAAATGTTTAATTAATTGTCTATCTACTGTTTGTTAAATTTCAACAAACGGCCATAAACTGACAAAGTTATGATTTTTTGAAAATTTAGGCATTTTTTGGTACTTTTTGGACCATAACTCCCAAAAAAAATTTTACCAACTATTCCGTTTGGAACCTAAAGTAACTTTTTACGCTCTATTCAACCATATAGGTCTCGATTTTTTTCGAGGGTAAAACTTGGGAGTCATTCCATGTAAATATATTTTAACTATTCAAATATTTGAATTTTGTGCTGAATTTCGATTTTTTAAACATAATGAAAATTTTGTTTCAGAATTTTTGAAATTCCGTTCTGCACCCTTAAGTTCGAGGAATCATGTGGCAAATAATTTGGAGGTTACAACAGTTTGGGGGTACAAAGTGATACAAAGCAATTTGGGCGGGGGGGGGGGGGTATAAATTTTTCAATTCGGGGTAGAACATACAGAAAAAAAGGGTTAGTTTGTACCCCCGAATTGTTGGTTGTGTGCCCTTAAATCACTTTGTACCCCCTTGTACAACCGAATTGTTGTATCCTCCGAATTATGTGCCGAGTCATGCACTTTCCCGTAAGGTTTTCCTTTAATTAATTGTCCTAAAAAACTCACTTTTCCGGAGGATTTCCATTGGAAAAGGACAACAACTCTGTTTACCGAGATTATGAACACGATTATATATTGGTAGTAGGCCAGAAGGTATGAAAGCATGATGAAGACCCTACAAGAAAATGTAGCATCTGAAAAATATTGAAATTAGAGTTATCTTTTTATCTTTCTCTCACCAATCATATCATAGAACGAGACCAATAATCCTTCATGCCCAGCAATTCTGGTCAGTTTCATCATGATAAATCCATTGGCAATAGTGATAAGATTCACAATGATATCAACAGCTCTCAAGTAATAATAAGTGGTCCCATAAATTTTACCAGAGTTGGAGAGAATAAACCAGAGTTGCATAAGGTAAAGAACAATTCCGATAGTGGAGTAAATAGATTGAAAAATGAAATGTGCCGTGTAATTTGGAAGATCCATGAGATCAAGCCCAATTGATGATACTCAAAAAATGATATATCGACTGTAAACCTTAGATATTCCCTAAATTAAAAAAGGAAGTGCCAATCACAAAGCTGAGAAAGGGGGCGGAAGAAACAAACACAGAGAAATTAGTCAAACAAAACGTGCTATATTCAAAAATTGTGACGATCAGTTTTAATTGGTCTAGACGATGAATATGGAGAGTAAGAAAAATGATGATACCCAATTAGAGCCGTGAGTCGGCGATGCTAGCGAACAAAGGTATAAAAAATATTCTAGGATACCGAAATTCTAAGTTTCTGAATTTCGGAATATTTCAGAATTCCGATTATAAAAATTAAAACTTCGAAATATCCAGAGTTTTCGAAATTCAGCTTTTTTCGAAAAATTCCGAAACTTCGATTAATGAGGTTCTTAACATTCCTAGCTTCCGAAAAAAGTTTTTATATTTGGAACATTCCTAGTTGTCAAATTCCATAATTCCATTATTTCAATTTGGAATGCCCGGAGGTCAAAATAATTATAAATCTTTTTTCAAAGTTTTTGGAAAATAAGATCCCCATATATTAAAAAAAAACCTTTCCGAAACCGGAACTAATTCAAAATTCTTCGATCTTCTTGGTAAGCACGAAATTTCCCAAAATAACAGAGCAATTAGTAGTGGTGTGCCATGAGTAATACTTTGAACTAGTAGTTCAATGCTCTTTTTCGAAAACAGAAATTAAACTGCGACAAAAACAACAACGTTCTTCGAATGGATAACTGAGTGTAAAACTTCGGATTCTGGTTTCCTGGATAGGGTGGACGCTGTGATTGAAAATAGTAAGCACCAGATCCCTTGCAGATATTTTTAGAAATAGAACCTTCGGTTTAGTGATTTTGATATTCTTGAGATCCTGTTATCACAGGTTGAAGGAATTTAAATTATAAATTTTGCAGTTTATCCAAGAAATGCGGGAATTATTTCCCCATCGCTCGACCTGAGAAATGTATATTGACTGTTCCGGGATTACGGTATCTCAGTTAACAATCCTTGAAATTAAAAATAATCAAGATTTCTTATCCTGATTTTTTTTTATTTTTAGACATCTTCCAGAATAAACAATTTAATAGTAGGGGTCGGATGGAAAACTCTAATATATCAAAACTTTCAATTCTCATTTCCGAAACTCCAGACGCCTTTTCAAAATCCAATTATGCGTCACTAGAAAATTAAGAAAAGTATGAAATTTTTTTCGAACTTTAAAACTAGGGTAACGGTAACAATTTCGTTTTCTTCAGTTTCGCAATGAGATTACTGATTCATAAGCCTCATACGAACTGAGATATTTGAACTGAAAAAAGGAGTATGTGTTCTGATGAAATTACTGTATCTTCTGTCGATACAAAATAATGAATTATTTCAGACAACTGTCATATTTGAAAATTTTAGATAAGTTTGAAAAAATGGTTATAAGTTTGAAAGAACGATGGCAGTTAGTGAAAAATAAGAGTAACCAAGAATCTAACTCCGGTAATTTTTGTGGCTACAAACCTCTGGGGATGATCAGACTTGTGAATACAAAAATGTTTTTATTCTAATCAACAAAGAGAATCGTAAAACATCTGTTATTTTTTCTAGTTTAATTTTTTATTATCAAGGGTCTCCAAAAAGAGTTAATAATCAAAAAAAATTTCAGAGAAGGAAATGAAGAAAAAATGCTCACTGACAAAATTGAGTTCTGAAAACTATTCATTCTCACATAAATATGTTTCCGAAATTTCCAAAAATAATTCTTGCAAAAAAATCAAATGTTCCAGAAAATCAAAATCTTGAGAGTTTTTGGTGATTCTTGAAAAAATTTCAGAAAATAAACCTAATTGTTCTAGAAGAAATAGGTTCATTTTCAATTTTGAAATCAATATTTACTGACATCTTTGGACCATATTTGGGCAAAGATTTGCCCCTATTTTAGTTCATACTTTTTTTAAGAAAAACAGATTTCATAAAACAGACCTAATTCTGAATCCGAAAGGTGGGGATTTCTTCCCGCCCATTTTTTCACCTCAAAATCTCAGACTAGTAGGAGAAAAACAACTTCGCGTCACCGAAAATAAGTGCAGGATATATAAATTAGGTCCCTGGGGGTTTTTAGAGGATCAGTTAGCAACGAGAAAAACTTGTGAGCTATATGGTCTCGATACGTAATGGTCCTCCGGGAATCATATGCAGTTGAAAAGAGTGCACTTTTCTGGAAATGTAATTTCTGAAAAATCTAAAAATTTTCCAGAAAAAAAAATACAGCCTGGTGTTGTGGGGCGGTTTTTTGAGCCGAAAAAACTGCGATGCTAGTTAATGTTTTAAAAGAAAAGTGATGATAAAAACATACAGTCACGTGTGGTTATTCAGAATTTACAGGGTGGCCTATAATGGTAGGACGTTTTTTTGAGGGCTCCTTGGCCAGGCGCCAAGGAAAAATTATGAAAACTTTCAAAACTAATAGAAACCTCTACAGGCAATGATTTATACCATTTCGTATCATTTTGTTTTTTGTTCGGATTTATGAAGACTTCTCCACACCAACACACATCGCGAATTTACTCGAGAGGGGAGTGCACGTGTTGATGTGGCCAGAAGACTTGGAATTCTTTCATAAAGTGTCTCAAATGTTTTTGAAAATATTCAAAAGGATCAAAGGAACCTATTAAAGTCAAAATTAAGACCACCATTAACTTTGAACATTCACCAGACTCGGGGGATCATCAATCTTCAAATTCGGCGAAAAAATGTGTTTTGACCTTGGTATTGCAAGGTCCAGGGTTCAAAAATCGTCAAATAGGATTTAAACATTTGTAGTTACCGTGACTACTATAAACTGTTCCTTTTTTATACATCCGGGGCCTGCAGACGCGAAAAATGCAAAAAACTTTTTTTTGCTTTTTCCGTAAAAATGTCAAGGTTTGGGATAAAATCACGGCAACCAGTACCAATTTTTTGATTTTTGGTAAAAATCGGCTCACAGGTCTACCAAATGACAGTTTTGATGCATAGTTCTGGGGCGATAACGACGTCAACTACAGCCGCCGCACAGCCACATTCTTTGTGATGCGTTTGGATGCTTCCGTCAAAGCTCGTGATTCTAATCACGATTACTTGTCATAAAACGAAAATTCTTATATATTTTGAATATTTTGGAAAAGTTATTACAGTTAAAAAACGTTTTTCTTTTTTATTTTTTAAACATGTGTTGAAAGCCGGATTATTTGGAAGGTAAGTCGTGAGAATTTTTGAAGCGAACATCTGAAATATTGACGAGTTTTTTATCGTTGATCCCATCTGATTTGCAATTAAAGTCTAATTCATCAAAACACAAATCAAACATCTTGTTGTTATTCTTCAATGATCACTGGACACTATTCGTTCCTAATTGCTCAAACTTTTCTATGAAAGCGAGGTTTGTACCCGGTTAATTACAGCTCACGTTTTTCACGTTTCTGATTTCTTTCTTCTTGATGAATCAGAAGGAGACTTTTAAACTTCAGAAAAAACTGGTGGAATCAATTAAACAGAACTGAAATGATTTCAAAAACCTACCAAGCTACCGTAGCCAACCAACATTGATCCAAAAATTCTTCAAATTCACTGACTAACGGTAATACGCCTCTGGATCCATATACTCGATTCCATAACGTTTCTACGCCGTTTTACAAAAACGCCAATAATTTCTCGTCTTACCTGAAAAATACTATTTTTGTTGCGTTTTAGAAAAATTTAAAAGGTTCTCACTACATTACTGAATACAAAAAGCAAAAATGCCGGCATCATGCTTAAACCATCGTTGACAAATGGCAGCCAAAACGTATAATCGTTCCCGATCTCATTAATTTCGAACTCTTCGGATACTTAAAATCACTCCCAGACATTGAAACAAAGCTTCCAAAAAAGTTGTGATCACAATGTTGCTTTGGACGTATTTCTTTTTTATGAGCTTCACATCGAAACGGAAAAATCACGTTTCCGACACTCAAAAGTAAAGAAATCACAGAAGTGGCAAACATGAAGGGGTTTAAAATGTAAAAACTGTCTTTTAGAGACTGAAAAAAAAGAATTCATGAAGCAAGTCAGTGTTGTTAGTCTTACTAATGTTCCAGTAATTTCTCTACGTTTTGTGATCTTGTTGAATTAATCGCACAAGTGAACGAGTGAAAAAAACCTGCTCTACAGCGCCTCTACAGGTTTGGAGACTCTCTACACGTTTCTTCACTCGTTCACTGGTGCGATTATTTTGAATAGACAATATCAAGAAATATACAGTATTTCCTAAAACAGAGGCCCAACATATACGTGCATTTCGGCTCAATTATCTCAGTTCCTTCACAAAACGAAAAAAGTTATTGATAAATTGATAATCATAATGCCACCAATATTTAATCCGTGGACAAAAATTTGATATCTCTCACAAGAACCAAGATACAGGAGCTTAAAGTACACGTATAGGAAGGACTTCAAAAAACTAACTTTTCGTACGCATCGGAGTCTGCTCGTACAATCAAGAGTGCTCGACAAACGCTCACATGCGATGATCAGAACTAGAAAATATTGATCATACGTCAAGAAATAGCTGAACATTGTGAAAACTCTATTGATAAAAGAGTCATCTGAAAACAAATCGCTTTTTTGGTAATTGGTAGGACAGTTTCAACAAGTCAGTCATATACTGACGACATGATTCCATCTCGACCGGAAAATCTTCATACTTGTAACGGGCCGGGCTTTTTCCCGAATTTGGGAGGCCCGGCACGGCCCGGCCCGGCGGGCCTGTCACTCCACAAGTTTTGAAAATTTCAAAAAACATATAAGGGGGACACTTATGTGATTTTTTTGATCAAAAAATTTTTTTGAGTTTTTTTTGTTGATATTTTTTGATCAAACAGACAAACAGTCCAAAAAGCACAAAAATATAGAAAATTCGGTTCAAAATGACAAAATGTTTGCTACCGTGTCTTGAAATTTTCCTCAAGCCCAGGGACCGGGCTTTGGCGGGCCGGCCCGGAATTTTACAAGTATGAAAATCTTGGTAGTTACATTATGAAGAACGTGTTCGCCATAGTAATGAAGTTAAAAATTTTTTTTAATCTGCTCTGACTTGAAGAACTTGCTCTTGAATGAAAGATTTTTTTTGAACACCAATACATAGAATTCAAAAGAAGTAAGAATCACAATATGAATGAGAAAAAGGCATTGTAGCAAAAATACGAATCCATCGAAAAGATAATCCATTGCGTACAAGTAGAACAGCCAGGAATGAGCTTGAAAGAAAAAATAAAGAGAAATAATCTCACAAACTAGAAAAGAGAAAACTCGAACTAAAAATTAGTTCACGATTTTGTTTTGTTTAATGTTCTGACTATAGGACAGAATGCACAAAAGATGTAATTTCCTTCCGTAGTACACGGACTGAAAAATTGTTTGACTTTATAAGAGCTCAATTATATTTGTTATAACTTACACCCGGGCGAGAAAAAAAGAAATAGAGAAGAAAAAGTGCAAAGTCATTATTTTCACAAAGTTACTAATCATTTTACTATTTCATTCAAAGGACTTATGGGGGAGTTGGAAATGGATCAGGATCAAGTTTAGCCATATTCATGATTCTTTGAATAGAAATGTACCAAGGTTGTAAGAAACAGGTTGGAATTTCGAAAATTCTAAGAAATTTCGGAGTTAAACTTTCAATTTTCTAAAGATCCTGGAACGATAAAATACTTGCTAAATCCCGGCCCGGTCCGGGCCGCGCTATAGAAAAATTTTTCCGGCCCGGGTACCGAAAAATTCAAAAATTTTCTGTTGGTTTTTGATACTTTTTGTGTCAAAATGATTATTTTAAAGCACGCAATTCAGCCCAGAACCCTTCTTTAAGCTGAAAAAAAAAACAAAATTTTGATATTAAAAAAATTGGAGTTGTGGCCGAATTTTCACACAAGTTAGGCCACCGTATTTCAAGGAGAATTTTCTAAAACACAGCCGGCAAACGAGTGCTACCGTAACCCAACCATAAATATTTTCGCAAAATTTTTGTCTAATTTTTTTCCTTTTTATCGATTTTTCTCGATTTTTTCGCGGTTTTGGCCGTTTTTTCACCCAATGGTTTCACCTAA